ATGTTTTTGCCAGTCAATCAGGTCTTTTTTTTTTTTTTTCATATTCTGTAATGGAATAGTTTCTAAATCTGAGCTTTAAATTAAAGAAGAAATCACTCAAGATAAAATGCTATGTGCTTCTGTTTATGCTTTAAAAAGACATCCTTCTTAAAAGCAACTTAATGAGATTAAGATGTTAAATTCTGTATATATTAGGAAGTAGACATTCTTACAGATATATGCAGGCTCGTCCTTTCTTGGTAGCAAAGATTAAAAAACAAAACAACAAAAGCAGTGTTGCAACACTAAGCAAAGAAATAAAACCAAAGCAATTAAACAGCTACTTCAACATAAACACTTAGTAATATTGAAGGCTACCATGGAGGTGCACACAGAGTCTGCCGGATAATAGTGCTTTATGCTTACATCATTTTCACTTTGCAATTTAATTTATATTAACTGGTTTAGTTCTCACAACAACGTTTTGAGATAGGACTTATTATCTCATATTACAGGTGGGGAAATTATCCCATTTCTACTATTTTTAAGGATAATTTTAAGGTTTTTATTTGGGTCCTCTAATTTCTGAATCAGAGATTAGTTTCGTTAACTTCAGAATGAACAAAATAGCCCTCTGTTTATGTTATCCCTACACACACACACACACACACAACACACCACACACACACACACACAAAAAGAGAGAGAGAGAAAAAATAAAGAATTAAAAAATGAAATCTCCAGTTCTAGCATAACAGGTCATTCAAAGCAAACAGACAGAACTTCAGATGTCATCATGGGAATTAATATTATTTTTACTTTAATGTATAATAGATGTTCAATTTCAAAATTCATAACTTGGCCCAACAACATGCTAAACTTGATTTACCTTTTTATGCATATGTCCTAAAACTTTATATTATGTATAATGTAGAAATATTACCTGCTTTTTGTCATATATACAAATAATGTAGACTTAAAGTAAAAATCAAAAGTACAAATTTTTAGTTTTCAAACTTCAATTAATTAGTCTCTGGCATTGATAGTCACTAAATAAAGGTTTTTTAATAAATGAATTAATAAACTATTCTACCACACAATTTTACACTTTATGAGAAAGGGCAATTTATGCCAGACACAATTTAACAGTTTAGATCAACACTAGAGATGCAAAGACAAGTAAGACACTCCTTGGCAAAGTTTCATTTAGGGGCAATAGGCACAAAGACAAATATTATTATAATTTACATACAATATTCTGCAGTTTACGGAAATGCATAGAGTATCATGGGAATGAAAGGAATGCCACCTGGGCCAACCTGAAGAAGATAGAGGTAAATGGGTCAAGCACACTTTGGTGAAATGCCAAAAGTCAGCCCTAATTTCTGGATCTTTTCCAATCACAAATACAATGTGGATCAAAAAGCAACCTTGAACCATGCAAAATACATTGCACATCAAACATACATACTCTGAATGCAACTGTGTTCCTACAATATTAAAATAAGAATCATTCTCTGCCGGGCGCAGTGGCTCACGCCTGTAATCCCAACACTTTGGAGGCCGAGGCAGGTGGATCACCTGAAGTCAGGAGATTGAGACCAGCCTGGCCAACATGGTAAAACCCTTTCTCTCCTAAAATACAGAATTATCTGGGCGTGGTGGCACATGCCTGTAATCCTAGCTACTCAGGAAGCTGAGGCAGGAGAATCGCTTGAACCCGGAAAGTGGAGGTTGCATTGAGCCAAGATCGTGCCACTGCACTCCAGCCTGGGCAAAAAAGAGTGAAAACTACGTCTAAAAATGTATATATATTCTCTCAGATATTTGTAGAATAAGAAATATTCTGAGACAGGCAGAGCAATATCTCTCTATTTCCGTGTGCATATAATAGAGAGAAATACATATATTTACATTATAAAAAAGAAGTGAGAACTTATGAATATTCCAGGAAACTAATGACTTTTCCATCTTTCGCAAGCACATTCTTAATTTTAACACTAAAAGTTCTGAATAGTTATGTTTGCTATTTCTGTTTCTTGAAATGTCCTTCTACTTCCCTCATGCCAAATATGCTTAGTTTTTTTAAATAATCCTAATTATTATATGATCTTTCCTGATGCTCTCTAATCAGCTGTAACCTGACTATTAATTCCATAATATTTATGTAGAACCATAGGAAACTCATGAACATATATTTTTGATTATTATTATTATGCATTATCATTTGCCCAAATTGGTTCCAGACAGATGCATGTCCCTTTACAACTTACTTGTTAAATATGTTTGAATTTTACAAACATATATAAACTAAGTTTGGTATTTTCATAATTATGGTAAGACCTGCAATTACAGAAGTGATCATACCAAGAGAAGAACCGGAAACTGTATTAGCAACGTGTATTAGTTCATTCTCACACTGCTATGAAGAAATACCCAAGACTGGGTAATTGACTCACAGTTCCACATTGCTAGGGAGACCTCAGGAAACTTACAATCCTAGTCGAAGGCAAATGAGAAGCAGGCACCTTCTCCAAAAGGCAGCATGGTGGAGTGAGTGCCAACCAAAAAAGGAAAGCCTCTTATAAAAACTATGTGATCTCATGAGAACTCACTCACTATCATGAGAACAGCATGGGGGAGACTGCCTCCATGATTCAGTTATTTCACCTGTTCTGCCCTCCACAGGTGGGGATTACCGGGATTACAATTCCAGATGAGATTTGGGTGGGGATACAGAGTCTAACCATACCACGATTAAATGGCTGGGTTTATTAGAGATAATATAGATACAATGGGGAGGTCTATTGCCGAGACTCACTTTAAAAAGTCATTTTGGCTGAAAATTTCTGATACCAAAATCTTGCCCAGAACAATTCAATAAAAACAGAGAGATCTCTGTCCAAAAATATCAACTGTTTGTTTATTTGTTAGATCCTGATGATGGCAATGTGGAACTGTAAAATAATAAATAATTCAAACTATTTGCCTTTTAATCCAAGGCATTATTTTGAAATTAGCCAGTAAAATCACAAAAATTTTTCAGTATAGAAAAATAATAATAATTAAACGTTAGCAAGTGCACACTGCAAGAGTATATGCATTTATTAGAAACAAAATGAGAAAAGATTACTTAGGCATTCATCTCTGTCTTCAGAGAAGAGAATAAAATAATTTCATAGTAGTGTTTGGAAGGTCTGTTGTCACTATACAGGTAGCCTACACCAGGGAATCAACTAGAAAGTAGAAACTACTTTTTTTCTTATGTTAACTAACATACTGCAAATTTCTCAGCAATGATCTAAATCACTATTGCTAGCTTGTAATTATAACAAAGTACCATTACCATTACCTCGGTAATGGTACTTTGTGTGCTTGTCCCATTTACCTCCATCTTCTTCAGGTTGGCCCAGGTGGTATTCCTTTCATTCCCATGATACACTATTTAACATTCCAGCCAGAATAATTAAATATAAATATATTAAGGACTATTTTTTCAAAGTTTACATGGAATATTCTAAACTTACATACAGATAAAGAAAACCTCAATATAATAATCACCAGTATACTCATCATCTATATTCATCAAACAAACAAATAAAACACACAAAAGATCATCAACTATAGCCACTAAGGGAAAATAAGTAGATAGGTATGTTACAATATATTATTTTAAATATCCAATTCTTAAGAGAAACTTATCAGATGCAAAGAAACAGGAAAGGGTGATCCATACTTAGGGAAAAAATGGAGACGTCATCAAGATAGCTGACTAGATGTGCCCGGACTATCCTCCTCCTCAAATATGGAACGAAATAACGAACAGATAACCACACTTGGTTCAAGTGTGGTTGAATAACAAGAAGATAACTTGCTAACTCAAAGTAGCAAGTAGATAACCACACTTAGCTGTCAAATACAGTATTTAAGAGTGAACATTACTTTGGGAGGCCGAGGCGGGCGGATCACGAGGTCAGGAGATCGAGACCATCCCGGCTAAAACGGTGAAAACCCCGTCTCTACTAAAAATACAAAAAATTAGCCGGGCGTAGTGGCGGGCGCCTGTAGTCCCAGCTACTTGGGAGGCTGAGGCAGGAGAATGGCGTGAACCCGGGAGGCGGAGCTTGCAGTGAGCCGAGATCCCGCCACTGCACTCCAGCCTGGGCGACAGAGCGAGACTCCGTCTCAAAAAAAAAAAAAAAAAAAAAAAGAGTGAACATTGGAATTATGCAGGGAAGTGACAGGGACCTTCTGTGGTATTGAAAGGAGAAACAGGTGAAGAAGCTGGCCAGGTGGGACTGGCTGAGGAGCCAGGAGGGACTACCCATTACAGGGAAAATGTGAGTGAGAGATACCCACCATTCCACATTCCCACCATGGACACCTGCAACCCTAGCCACAGGAGAGCCTGTTGGCCCTCGCAGCCCTGAGCCTAGCTAGTATAGAAAGCTGTCAGAATTCTACACCATGACATTGTTTTTACAGATGGAATTCATGCTGGGGCCCACTCATCCCCTGAGCTGTGGCAGCATAACATCGTTTTGAGAGCCAAGTCCCCACCAGACTATATTCTGTCATTGATTCCAATATTCCCTGCATATCCACATCCCTACAAACCCATTGACATTTCCCCACATTCACCCAGAGGACTGCAGCGTCATGACACCACTGGCTGCAACGTTGTGGCTGGGACCGCAGCACTCTAGCCCACACAGTGTCCTACACTTTGGGGAAGAGGCAGAGCAGCTCACCAGGGAGGCCACACCCAAGACAAAGGGAACCAAATTGTGCACTGCCCAGAAGCTGGGACCCACCTTCCTAGGGCTGCTACCATTGACAGCAACCCCACCCATGGTGGTGGCAGGGCCACCATGTACTTGCAATGCCTTAATGGGGCCTGAGGAGCAGCTTGTCACGCGTACTGTCTGGAAGCCTGAAGACAGATTTACACCACCCATTGGCAACAATGCCAATGCCCAGACACGCCATGCAGGGGCCTGAAAATTGGTCCTCCCAGCTCACCATCATTTGTACCCACATACTCCAAATGGGGACCTCTCCTGCCTGCCTGCTGCTGCTGCTGCCACTGCCACCTGTGTGCAGTCTGGGGGTCTAAGGATCAGCCCTTCTGCCCTGCTGCTGACAGGACCCTTGTGCACTCTCCTGGGGCTTGAGGACAGGCCCATCCCCCTCATCACCAGTGATGATAGTGTCCATGAGCCCTTTCTGGGGGCCCAGTGACCAGCCTGCCCAGGCCATTGCCACCACTGCCAGTGCCTGGACACACCTACTAGAGGACCAAGGATCAGCCCCCACCCACTGCTACTGTCACCAGTTCCCACCCAAGTGTGCCACCTGAAGGCCTTGGGATGGACTCACCCAGCTGACTACCACCACTGCCAGCAACCAGCACATATCACCCAGGGGATCTAGGGCTGACCTGCTGCCACTATTTGCCATTGCTGGCACCACTCGTACCTATCAGAGCAACAAGGAACAGCCCATGTGGTGTGCTGCTGCCACCATTGTGCCTTTGCATGCCACCTGGAGGCCTGAGGACTAGCCCACCCCAACGACCCAACCACTGCTGGTGCCCAAGTATGCAGCTTAGGGGTGCTATGACTAGCACACCTAGTGCACCACTACCAACCCTGGTGTCTGCATATGCCACCCAGGAGCTAGAAGACCAATGTACCTGGAATACTTGTCTCTGGCAAAGCCTCGCCACAACCTCTATTAAAAACTGCATCATAAGCAACTGAGGAACTCACAGACACCACTGATGTTGATTGCAGCTGAAGCAATTATACAGAGACTACCCTATTGTTATGACTCAGAA